GTGGACGGTTTGGAAAATACCATCTTCCTATTGGCCCACTTCTTGACACGTGTGCCCTATCATATGCTTCATGGCAGAGGGGCCTGCTTGGGGGCGGGGCAGAGGGAGCAAAACCGTCTAACGGAGAAGAGATCAATTAGAATTCGTTGATGGCTTGAAGGACAGCTAGCATTCAGGGGTAGAGCTGAAAGAGGGGACAGGAAGAGGAGTTGGGGGAAATGAGAGCAGCCCAAGCAGTCAATGCTTTAACAGGCGGTATAGGATAACAGTTAAGATGGCAGGTCCTAGGGTGGGACCATCTGAATTTCAAATTCAGAGTCCATGGATAATAAAAGAAACATACCATATGGCTCCATTTGGACGAAGTTGCAAACGGGCAAAATAACTTCTGAAAAATCTGAACAGCGTTTAACTTGGTGGGAGGTACTGACTGGGAGGACACCTCAGGGAGCCTTCTGAGGGGTTGGGAATGATCGTGGGTGACTGGAAATGCACGTCCTATGTGCATTTTAAAGACAACTGGATTTTTTTTTTTTTTTTAATGGTGCCCAGAGACATGTGGAATCTTAGTTTCCCACCAGGGATGGAACCCTTACCCCTTGCAATGGAAGAACAGAGTCTTAACCACGGGACTGCCAGGGAAATTCCCAGAATTTTTAAGACATTAAACAAATTTAGGCTCTTCCATTCCCTGAGTGATAGTTGGCTAATCTCTGTGGGCCTCAATTCTTTCATCTGTGAAGTTAGGATAATAATAATACCAGGTCATTAAATGCTAATTATACAGACACTGATCTGAGTGTTTAGCAATATTAAGTCATTTTTTCAAAACAACTTTGCAGATGGGGAGTATTGTACCCATTTTACAGATGAGGAAACAGAGGCATGGAGAGAACTGGTATCTTTTCCAAGGTTATGCAATATGGTTTTTCCAACCATATTTTCTGAATGTATTGGCCTCTCTCATGTTAAATGGATATAAAAAACTCATAACTCATTTTCCTAAAGAAACAGAAAGGTTTAGAGAAAAAAAGGACCAAAACATCACTGAATACAATTTAGATGTGTCATCCACATTTTCAGAGCTTATCTCTGCCAACAGTTCTTACTTGTTTACTCCATATTTCCTCCTCTGGATGGGTCTTTGAAAATTAAAGGTTAAATCAAGAGCGAGATAAAACTGTTGAAGATGAGACTCTGGTTGCCTAACCGGTATCCATCTTTAACATCTTATTTTGCTGGAGACTGAAATGTGCTTATTTAAAAAACTATATTTCCCAGCCTTCCTGGTAGTTAGAAGCCTGGCCAATGTAATAATGTAAACTGAAATCATTATGTGGGGTTATGAGGAAAGCACTTTTTTAAAAAGGGACACACTGCAGTCACAAAGAAAGAAATATGTGAAAAGATACAGAACTGAGGTTTGAAACCAGATAGCCTGATGCAAGTCTGCTCTGTCACCTTCCCTGCTCCTGTGTAAGCTCATTTCAAGGATTAAATAGAGATAACATGGATAACCAGGGTTCAGAGCCTGTTAGCTACATGGGCACTCACTGAACACAAGGCACTAAAATACTAATATACTTTATCCCATTTAAGCATCACTACAGTCTTTTGAATAATTTCCCCCATTTTATAGCTGAGAAGACTGAGGCTCGGAGAAGTTAGATGACTTGGTCTGGGATTGCACAGCAAATGGCAGTGCTGGGACTCAGACTCGTATCAACAGGACTGCTGCCCTCCAAGGGGGAGCAGAGAGGAAAGGAGGCAGAGGGAGGAACATTAGGGGAGGCAGTGAAGAGGCGCGAAGGGCCAGTCATTGTCCTTGGCAGCCAGGGGCTTACCCTGGAATAGAGACTGAGGGAGGGGGAGAGTTCTGGGCCATGAGCTGGTAAAGGTCGGGCCCTAGTTTCACTGGAATCTGGGCATTCTCTTCCACGTTTCTTTCCTCATCAGGTTCTTCCTGTTCAGAGTAAAACAGTCCAAGGCTGCATGGGCTTGCCTGAGACAGATAAGTAAGGAGGGGAGAAAAAGAAAAACCGTGGTTTAGAGCTATGGCTTTCACCATTTTTTTTTACAGAGAGACCCATTTCATAACTCAGCACATGCACACACATGCCAAACTTTCTCACAATACTTTTGGATTCTGATTATGTGCAGGGCACACTGTATTGTATCATTTTTCCCTTTCTATCATTTTTTTATCTCCCAGAATGCTTATCATGACCCATTAAGCCTATTTCACAACCCACTTATAAGAAGCAACCCGAGTTGCTGGCTAAGGGCAGTATTTCTCAACTTCTTTTCACTATTGCTCCCCTAGCCTTTTTTAGACATTCTTTGTTTGCTAATGACCATTTTTCATGAACTTCTGATAACAGATATACTGTATTTGTTGTTGTTCAGTTGCTCAGTCGTGTCCAACTCTTTGTGAACCCATGGACTGCAACATGCCAGGCCTTACTGTCCATCACCAACTCCCAGAGCTTGCTCAAACTCTTGTCCATGGAGTCGGTGATGCCATCCAACCATCTCATCCTCTCTTGACCCCTTCTCCTCCTACCTTCAATCCTTCCCAGCATCAGGGTCTTTTCCAATGAGTCGATTCTTCTTATCATGGCCAAAGTATTGGAGCTTCAGCTTCAATATCAGTCCTTCCAATGAATATTCAGGGTTGATTTCCTTTAGGACCAACTGGCTGGCTGTCCAAGGGACTCTCAAGAGTCTTCTCCAGCACCACAGTTCAAGGCATCAATTCTTCAGCACTCAGTCTTTTTTATTATCCAGCTCTCATATCTGTACATGACTACTGGAAACGCCATAGCTTTGACTATGTGGACCTTTGTAGGCACCTATATATCTGTGCTTTATATAGGGCTGCCCTGGTGGCTCAGATGGAAAAGAACACGCCTGCAATGCAGGAGACCTCGGTTTGATCCCTGGGTCAGGAACATCCCCTGGAGAAAGGAATGGCTACCCACTCCAGAATATCAATTTTTAAAAGATCCACCCCTGAATCAATTTCTACCCTCTTAGGGGGGCACTTATCTCTGTTGAGAATGCACAGGAGACATCATCAGTTCAGTTGCTCAGTCACGTTTGACTCTTTGCGACCCTGTGGACTGCAGCACGCCAGGCCTCCCTGTCCATCACCAACTCCCAGAGCTTGCTCAAACTCATGTCCATCCAACCATCTTGTCCTTTGTCGTCCATTTGTCATCCTTTGTTGTCCTGCCTTCAACCTTTCCCAGCATCAGGGTCTTTTCCAATGAGTCAGTTCTTCTCATCAGGTGGCCAAATAGTGGAGCTTCAGCTTCAGCATCAGTCCTTCCAGTGAATATTCAGGACTGATTTCCTTTAAGGTTGACTGGTTTGACCTCTTTGCAGTCCAAGGGACTCTCAAGGAGATATCATAGCAACTCATTTTCTGAACCATCTTTACACACAGCATCCCAACAGCCAGTGAAATAGTACTAGTCCCACTCTGCCCATGAATAAGCTGAGGCTGCAAGGTGATGTTAATTATTGACGATTGAGATGGCCAGTAAATGGATTAGGAATCCAGAGACCAACCCAGATCCTTGCTCAACTGCTTAGTCATCTTCTCCAAGGCTTCACTTCTTCAGGTGGAAAATGGTGGGATTTCCAAAGAAGTGTTCATTAAACTTCGGGTCCTCCCCCACATATAAGCTAATAATAACAAACATTTATACTGGCTACATACTCCAGTATTGTTGCCTGGAGAATTACATGGACAGAGGAGCCTGGCGGCTACAGTCCATGGGGTTGCAAAGAGTTGGACACGACTGAGTGACTAACACACATATAGTATATACCAGACGTCAGGCACTAATCTATGCCCTTCGCATATTTTAACTAATATAATCCTTACAATAACCCAAGAGAGAGATACTATTATTTTTTTATTTTTTATATGGACCATTTTTAAGTGTTTATTGAATTTGTGACAATGTTGTTTCTGTCTTACATTTTGCTTTTTTTTGGCCACAAGACATGTGGAATCTTAGCTCCCCAACCAGGGATCCAACCCTCACCCCCTGCATTGGAAGGTGAAGTCTTAACCATTAGACCACCAGGGAAGTCCCATGGGAGATGTCATTATTAATTTCCTTTTCCAGATGAGGGAATCAAGGCACAGAGAGGTCGTGTGTCCTGCCCAAGGTCACACAGGTCAGAAGTGGCAATGCTGGGATTTGAACCTATAGTCTGGGTTCCAGGGTACCTGCTTTTAACCATGTCTGTTGAAAGGAAACATTTTATCAGTACTGAAAACACTGGAAACCAATATCACTTGTTGTAAATAAGGTAAACAAAATAAAATGAAAAAACTTGTTCTTACATTCTCACTGGATATCATCCCACGCTCAGAATTCTGAGCCGGAGGCCTTCTCTCTCTTTGTTAAAGACAAGACAAGACAAGCAAGGATAGAGAGGTGTTAAAGGGCTTCTGGCAGCAAAAGGAGACTTTGTCCTGGAATAATCAGATGTGTTGAAAGAGAACTGGAAAGAGAATGGCTTTCAGATGTGTGTGTGTGTGTGTGTGTGCCTGTGCCTGTGCACACACGCTTTCTTTCTGACGGGTGTGCCATCTAAAACAGCAGTCCCCAAGATTTTTGGCATCAGGGACCGGTTTGGTCGAAGATAATTNGGGTTGGGAGTGGGAGGATAGGGTGGGTTAGAGGGGTTTGGGGTGGTTTCAGGATGATTCAAGCTCATTATATTTTTGTCCACAATATTTCTAATCTAATGCCATCACTGATTTGACAGGAAGTACCTGGTCGGTAGCCCAGGGGTTGGGGACCCTTGATTTAAAATAAACCCAAGATGGGATGCATTTCACACACTGTGGTCCGCTGTCTGGGCGTTCCAGGAGTGTCTGAATATCCCGAGGAGGAAGGCCGACACAGCAGCCAGTCCTGGCTAGGGGTGCAGTCCCAAGCTACCAGCGCCTCCGGAAGGCAGCCGGCAGCGCCCGCAGGGAGTGGGGCAGCGAGGGGTGGCGCTGCCGCCGTGCCCATCAAGGCTCCGAAGACTTCCGCCGCAGCTTTCCCGCCCCAGCCTGGCCCCTCAGGTGAGTCTCTCTTTCACCCCACAAGGGGACCTCACACACCTGTCACACAATTCACCCTGGACCTGGAGTTTACCGTTTCCCCGCTCTTTCAGCCTCCTTTAAGTCCAAATGCTGACTTGCACATCTTCTTTGCCTGGGTGCTGTGCTGCCTCGGCCCTGCGGAGGTGGGCAGGTGCGATTATCATCAAAGCCTGTGAATAAGTAAATGATAAGTGGCCAGAAGTGGACTGTTTCCCACATGATACCCAGGAAAGGGTTCAATTCCCCCTCCCTGTGCTCTGGGGTGTGTCCTGGCCAGCATCCCAGATCATTTATTATTTAGTGCTTTTTTTTGGTATCTGTCCCAAGTTAGTTTCAGGCAAGTTCAGTCCCAGTCTTCATCTGTACAACAGAAAAGGGCGCAACAGATGAGTTGAAGTGAGAAAACCAAGCATCCAGACCCTTTTTTTCTCCCATGGGTTGGCTGTGTGACCTTCGTCAAGTGTCAGAACCTCTCTGAGCTTCAGTTGAATACACAGAGTCCCATTGCCTGGGTTCAAATCTTAGTTCTGTCACTCACTAACCAGGAGAACTTATGTGAGTGATTGAACTCCTCTGAGCATCAGACTTCTTATCTATAAAATGAGGACAAGAGCAGTACCTCTATATAGGGCTCTGGGATGACTGAATGAGATGTATGTAAACACAGTTCCAATGTGGCATTGTAAATATTCACTGTGACAGTCATTAATGGTTCTTGTTGTTCACTTATTTATGTATTTATGGGCGCACCTTGCAGCATGCAGGATCTTAGTTCCCTGACCAGGTATCGAACTTGTGCCCCTAGCAGTGGAAGTGTGGAGTCTTAACTGCTGGACTGCCAGGGGAGTCCCCCTGTTGTTTTGTTTTGTTTTGTTTTTTGAGCCCTCTTCTGTACCACTTGCTCTACATACTTGTCTTCTAATCATCACAATGAACCCTGTCAGTTTCTTACATAATCCCTATTTGCCAGGGGAAGACTGAGGTTTGGGGAAGTCAACTGACTGGCCCAAGGTCACCTAGACACATAGCGGCATAACTAGAATTCAAACCTATATCTTGCCTGGTTCTAAAATTCCTTTTCAACTGAGTCCTAATTTGTTTCTATCTGTAACATTAGAAACTTTGGAAATGATAGTTTCTTCCACTTTCATTTTACTGTTAGGATGAAAGAAGACCAAGTCTGTGAAGAGGCCTCTAACTGATGCTCTAACTCAGCTCAGCTTCTTATTCCCTCAGTGATAAGAAGTAATTATGTAAGCATAGATCTTTCATTTTCATAATGAGGAGGTTGATGAACCCCTTCTTCATCTCTGGGAGGCAATATTATCTGATGTCCAGAGGAGGGAATTGAAAGTATTAGATAAAAAAAAAAAAAAAAGAAAGTATTAGATAAAAATTGGAACTGTCAAGTTCCCTTCCCACATCTAAGCCCAGGTCTGCAGATGTGTCCTTCATCGTCTGGGTTTTCTCTGCATCTCAGGTCCCCCATCCACCCCACGGTGAATGGAAGGACACAATCTTTTACTCTCTTTTCCAGGGCCACTGTAAAACTACAGGTGAGACTATCTGATATTGCCAGCTTTGAACTTTAGGTAAAGGGAGGTCTTATGGCTATTTGGCTATTGTGAAGTCAGTTTCTCCCTGCTTCCAGTGAACGGTGTGATGTGGGTAGAAGTGGGGCCCTGGCAAAGGGGTGCATTCATCCCCCTCCTCCTAGCTTGCCTTGCAAAGAGCAGATCTGGTGCCGTGTCCACCCTCCTGCATAATGTATGCACCTGTGGTAGGAACAGAATACCATCCGTGGCAAGTTTGGCCACTGCAGCCCATGGACGTGTCCAGAGGTCTTGCCAAGGCTGACGTCTCTCTGTTGGCAGGAGGTGAAGGGAGGGTGGGGCCCTGTGTCATCTGAAGCCTTTTCCTGTTCTGAAGTGGGAACTGGTTTCATCTTGGGTCTCAGGATTCTGCAAAGATAAGGGCAGATGAGAAGACAGCCCTAAGCAGGCAGTCTGACCCAGACTTAGATTCAACAGAGGTGACACTGGGAACAGCTAGACTCTGGTTTTCCGGGCTTGCAGCTCCCTCTGAGAGGGCTGGAGTGGCAGAGCCAGTGGGAACTTCTCAGTGTGGTTGAGGAGTAAGGGGAGACCTGGAAACCAGGGACGCAGACCCTGGTGATTTCACACACCCCCTGTATTGGAAGGCAAAGTCCCAGCCCCTAGACTGCCAGGGAAGTCTCTCTCTTTTGAAAATATTTGTTTATTTGGCTGCTGGGTCTTAGTTGTGGCATGCGAGCTCTTTAGTTACAGCATGTGGAATCTTGTTCCCTGGGCTGGGCTCGAACCCAACCCCCTATATTGGGAGCTCGGAGTCTTAGCCACTAGGCCACCAGGGAGATCTTTCCACTGGCAATTTCCTTTCCTTTTTTTTTTTTTTTAATTTTTTGAATGTGGGCCATTTTTTTAAAAGTCATTATTGAATTTGTTGCAATATTGTTTCAGTTTCTGCAATATTGTTTCTGTTTTGGAACTTTGACCGACAGGCATGTGGGATCTTAGCTCCCTGACCAGGGATCCAACCAGTGCACTCTGCATGGGAAGGCAAAGTCCCAATCGCTGGACTGCCAGAGAAGTTCCTTTAAAAAAATATATTTATTTATTTGGCTGCACTAGGTCTCAGTTGTGGCATGTGGGATCTTCAATCTTAGTTGCAGCATTCAGGATCTTTAGTTGTGATATATGAACTCTTCCTTGCTGCATGTGGGATCTAGTTCCCTTGACCAGGGGTCAAACCCAGGCTCCCTGCATGGGGAGCTCAGAGTCTTAGCCACTGGACCACTAGGGAAGTCCCGACCCTGGCCATTTCTGTGGCTGCCTCCTGATGCGGGAAACTCCTCGGGCAGCAGCCATGATGAGGTATATTGGGGCAGAGAATGTGCACAGAAGTAGGTGTACTGGGTTGCTTTCAGGGGAACATGCCAGGATGCAGTAACCAAGGGTGAGGTCTGAGGCTTCTTTGAGGGAGGTGTGCTTACATGAGTGTGCATGTGTGTGTGCATACCCACAGCATATGTGTGTGGAGAATCCAAAAGTCAGCAAGAAACTGGGAGGTCAAAGTGCCTGAAGAGCCAAGGGAACAGGGCATCTGGATAACATTACCTGAGTGGTTGGATTCTATTCATTCATAGAATCAGTAAGTACTCAGTGGAGGCCCCCCAAAGCCAAACTAAATGCTAGGGCTTGGGATATGAAGATGAATCAGACCCAGGCACTTGCAAGTCTTAACTGAGGAGCCAGGCAGTAAAATGAAGAATTTCAATACCTTGTGATAAGTGCTAGAGCAGCTGTCTGTATATGGTACCCAAAGCAGTCACCTTTGCTTAAGGCAGGCAGGAAGACCACCCTGAGGCAAAACTGAGCAGTGGTTCAAAGGATGAGGGTGTTGGTGGTGGGGGAAGGGGGTGGGGGAGACAAGGGAAGGGTGTTCTATGCAGAGGGAATAGCAGAGATGAAACCCTATACACTGGTTCAGGAACCTTGAGCAGATCCTATGATGGAAACATGAATGAGCTGATAGGGCACAAAACACTTTTGTTTACAAATGATCTGATCAGTGGAAATAAGCAACACCAGGGCTGGAAATTTGTCTGCCTTAGTCTCTGCTAGGGTCCCAAAGCCTAGAGCAGTGCTTGGGACCCTGTTGGATACATCGTGAATGAATAAACCAAGGTGGTTCAGTGGTTAAGAATCCACCTGCCAAGCAGGAGATGCTGGTTAGATCCCTGAGTCAGGAAGATCCCCTGGAGAAGGAAATGGCAACCCACTCCAGTATTCTTGTCTGGAAAATCCCACGAAGAGAGGAGCCTGGTGAGCTATAGTCCATGGGGTGGCAAAAGAGTTGGATACAACTTAGGGACTAAACAATAACGACAACAGGGGACTTCTCTGGTCGTCTGGTGGCTAAGACTCCCGTACTCCCGATACAGGCGGCCCAGGTTCCATCCCTGGCCAGGGAACTAGATCTCACGTGCAGCTGTCCAACTAAGACCTCGTGGAGCCAAATAAATAAACTATAAATAAGTAAATAAACCGAAGGTAGATGGTACCCAGAGTGGATGGTGTGGACAGTCGGCTAAAGCATTTGGGCTTTACCCTAGAGTCAGTGGGGAGCCCTTTGGGGAGTTAAAAATTGAAAAGGCACAAGATCTGACCTGGATGAGAAGAAATCATTCTGATAGAGATATGAAGGGTGAAGAAATCAGATGATGAATCTTAAATTTGGGCACTGTCAATAAAGATGGGGGTCAGGTTGAAAAAATATTGAGAATAAGCCTATGCCATTAAGAAGTAGCTCTGATTTTAACAATACCCCTGGGAGGCAGGCATTTCCTCGTTATACAGAGAAAAAAATGGACTCAGAGAGGCGCGGTGACTCGGCCGAAGTCACACAGCCAGTTGGCGGCATAGCCCGGGGGTTCAGTCTGGCCTTTGTGGCGCTGCAGGACCCAGCACACAAGGTGGATCTGAGCCAGGCGTGTAGCGGCGGGAACGCGCCCCTTCTACTCAGTAAGTGCGAGAAAGTCCAGCGCATCGCTACTAAAAAGAACTGGTGCCCACAGACCGGAAGAGGGAAGCGAGGCGCGAAGAAGGAATGTTGGGTCTGGGCGGCCACCGTAGGAGCGGTGCTCTCATCTCCATGGCAACAGCGAGAAGCGGCGGGAGGCCTCTGGGCGGTGCAGCCGCCACGGCGGATTGGAGCGGGAAAGGCGCGGAATCCGTGAACTGCCTGTGGCTCCGAGGGCGCAGGTGATGGGGTTAGGTCGGTGGAGGGAGCCCGGGGTTTAGGGAAAAACAGAGGGTCGGGCTGGGGCCTTCGAAGAAGGCGCTGCCCCGTACCCCCATCCTCACTGTTCTGACCAGAGACCATCGTTGGGCCTCAGTTTCCCCAAACGGGAAATGGGAGGAGGAGAACGGGCACCCGAGCCCAACGGCCCCTCTCAGTCACTGAGGCCCAGGACTTTCTCTCCTCTGCAGCTCCTGGACTGACCGGTGGTGTCCTGCCCCATGGACGTGAGTCTTAGCCCCCCCCGCCCCGTACCCCCCTCTGGCGCGGCCCCCTCGGCACCCCTAACTTACCCTGACTTTGCCTTTCTTGGCGCCTGGACTGGAACTCTTTACCCAACATAGACCCTTCCAGTTCAGGACAAGAGCTGTGAGACAGAAAGAGAGTGCAGGGTGGCCTTGCCAAGGCAGGCCACACCGCACTCTGGCAAGATGAGGAGTTAGTCAGGAAATCAAGGAGGAAAAGCATCCCAGGAAGAAGGAACAGCGTGGGCAGAGACGTGGATGTGAAAGAGAGGCCAGGGAACAGCCAGGACTTCAGTGTGGCTGGAGTATAATGGGGGACAGAGGGGAGGCGGGCAGGGCTAGACTAGAGCCTTTGTCACTGAGAGAAGTTTGGACCGAGTCAGCGGGAGCCACTGATGGACTGTCGGGGAGGGATGAATACTCAAGGACAGCTGGTATGGAAAGGGGCACAACTGCAGATTGCAAGACAGAGGCCAGTACTGTGGGCTGAGGGGTGGCAGAGTAGTGCAATGGAAACACAGACAAAAGGTCTGTTTGGAGAGGCATTCTGAAAGGAAGAGCGATAAGTCTTGGAAAAGTCTAGAATGACCAACAGGTCTCTGATGGTGCTGAAAAGGGGATGACGAGAGAAAAGGCAGGTTTGGGGACAAGACGAAGATAAAGATGTTAGTTGCTATCGTGTCTGACTCTTTGCGACCCCATGAACTGTAGCCCGCCAGGCTCCTCTGTCCATAGGATTTCCCAGGCAAGAATACTGGAGTGGGTTGCTCTAGCCTTCTCCAGGGGATCTTCCCGACCCAGACAGTGTAGCCCTATTACTGTCTCCCCACCACATGGTGGCTGTTTCTCCCCGTTTCCCAGCTACCTCCTGCGTCCCTCCTGGTGTTTCTGTGTCCCCGCAGCCCCTCCACATCTCCGCGTCTCCCTTTCTTCCTGTGCTGTCCAGGCCTCCTCTAGCCCGTGGACTCCAACCCCGGCTCCCGTCAGCGGCCCCTCCCTGCTGCTCCCCATCCCCGCCATCGTCGTTCTCTCCGTGGGCATCTACCTGTTGCTGTTGGGCCTTGTGCTGCTGACCAGGCACTGCCTGCTGGTGAGGGGCCCGGTGGGGGCTGGAGGGTGGGCCCTGACAGGGGAAGAGGTTGGCCTGTCCCCCCATTTGCAGGCCCTTACCCTGAGACACCTTTGCCATTTAGTCTCCACATCGGGCCCTCACCTGGGGCCAGGAGACCCTCTTCTCCTATCCCCAGCTTAACCTTCTGCAGCCCCTCTCCCCAAAACCGGGACTTAGCTGTCCCTCCCAACCTGCCACCTGGCCCGGATCCTGAGCGCTGCCCTCTCCTAGGCCCAGGGCTGCTGCACAGACTGCAGCTCCCCCTGCAGGAAGCAAGGCACCTCCAGGCCCCAAGACTGTTGCCAGACCTGTGCCGAAGCCTGTGACTTCCCCCTGCCCAGCCCAGCCCGCTACTTGGATGCCTGCTGCCCCCAGCCCGCCGAAGCTGTGAGTTCTCGTCCTGGCTCCTGGCCCCTGAGTCCTCATCCTGGTATTCGCAGTGCATTCATTTTTTTTTCGGTTCAACAAAAGTTATTACGGAGCACCTATTCTAGGCCAGGCCTAGTTCCAGGTACTGGGTCAGGTGGAGACAGGCGAAAACAACATAAACAACCTATCAAATATTTTCTGGGAATGAAAGCTACTTGGAGAAAGAAGAACAGGGCAGTAGCTGGAGAAGGGTGACCTATGTAACATGCAGGGCATACTTCGACCTCTGAATATGGTAGTTAAAGAAGACAGAGCTCCTTCTGTTCCTGGAGTGAGTACAATGTTCTAGATACTGTGTGACTTCATTAACAACCTCCAGAGCTGGGTATTTTTAAAACCCTATGTACATATGTTTTTTTATTACAAAGTATACATAAAGAAATATATAGAAAGTACAAGTCACTTTATAAGCCAGCCCGCTAACCAAGGTTACTATGTTTGGTGTATGTCCCTTATATACTAATACACATACAGTGTTATCACTGTTGTATTTCACTGTTGGTAAAAATGTATGCCACAGGGACTTCCTTGGTGGTCCAGTGGCTAAGACTGCACTCCCAATGCAGGAGGCCCGGGTTCAATCCCTGGTCAGAGAACTAGATCTCACATGCCACAACTAAGACCTGGTGCAACCAAATAAATATTTTTTACAAAATGTATACCACACCTACTATTTCCTCCCAACTGCCACTTTCCCTTTTTAACTTGACATCACATCTTGGCTACCCATCCATGCATCTTTTATCCTCCTTTTGCAGGGGGGTATAACTTGGTTCAGGGACATTTAATTGCTTCCCCAGTGTTCCACAGGACAGTCTTGCACAGCAAATTGCTCCATCATGTGTTGAAACAGAACCTTCAGGGAGAAGCCTGGCTCACAGAGGACAGGCTGTTTTTGCATTTGTGGCTTTAAAGATGTTAAGTGTCATTGACCACCTTCCTAGGCCATGCTTATTTTGGGCTCAGAGATTTAGACAGCAAAGCTCCTGCCCTTGAAATCGGGACCTTCCCTAGGCAGGTAAGAGTGAGGGGAAAAGACCAAGCAAATGCAAAACTTGGCAGACTGCAGTTGCAAATCCCTGCAAGAAGTTTTGAGTTTCAAAATCAATTGCGGGGCAAGGAGTTCTCCTCTTTCAGATATAATCTGCTTCTGATTTCTCAGGAGTAGCGCAGAGATGAGGCCCAGGGCTTGGGCTCCAGGGATCAAGGGGAAAAAGAAGACCCTGTGTCCTCCCAACCTCCTATTTTATAGGAAATGCTTACTTACAAAATGATTTCTTGTTCTCTGCCCTGGGGACCCCACTCCCTCCACCTTCTGTCTGCAGGAAGGGATTGGTCAGGGGCTTCTCCTCCTCCCTGAGAATGAGGTGTGCTGTCTGGAGGGACTGATTCCGCTCACTGTCCCCTCCAGGGCTGCGGGGCATCCAAGCCAGGAGACCTGCAGGGCCTGATCCTATCCAGCTTCTGCCAGAGCCAGGACAGGTTCTAGAATGATGAATGGTGGGGCGGGGTCATTCCGTCCTTGGGCTGTCTTTCCACAAAGCACAGTAGGCCTCTGTATTCTTCAGTTTCCTTATAGTAACAAAAGCAACCGCAAATATTCACAGCTGCAGAAACTGGGGCACACAGAGGCCTCAAGCCTGGGCCGAGACACAAACCCAGGTTTCTCTTTCTCTCTATGGGAGAAGCTCACCTGTGCTACATCTTTCACAGGTGTGTCATGAGGACCTAATTCATTCATTCATTTATTTATCCACTTACCAAAGAGCTGAGACTTCCCTAGTGGCTCAGACGATAAAGAATCCACCTGCATTGTAGGAGACGCAGGTTCAATCCCTGGGTCAGGAAGATTCCCTGGAGAAGGGAATGGCTACCCACTTCAGTCTTCTTGCCTGGAGAATTCCATGGACAGAGGAGCCTGGCAGAGGGTCACAAAGAGTCAGACATAACTGAGAGATTAACACTTCACACTACCAAAGACTTATGAAGTTACTGTTGAGGAACTGTGCTGGGCCCTGGGGGTGCATTGGAAACAAGGCAGATGTGGCCCCAACCTTCATGGGGCTTACATTCCTGCAAAGGACAGAGAGAAATAACTAGGCAGTGACATTCAAGTGTGAGAAATGATGCAATCCGGGACAGTTCTGGTTCTTAAGCACCAGTATGATCAGAAGCAGGGATGAGGCTTAAACAGAAGGCCAGGCATCCAGGCCCCATGCCCAGTAGATTTGGAATGAGATTGGAATTTGCGAATCTTTAGCAAGTTCTTACATGGCAGACACATACACCAGGGTGAGAGCTACTGTTCAAGGGTAAGAGCTATCACCAGAAGAGCTCCCCTTGGTGAGAACTCACTGTGTACCAGGCACCATGCTTCGTGCCTTCCACTGATTCCCCAAGTGACCTGGGAAGGAAGTGTTCTACTTCCTAAATCCACTTCAGAGATGAGAAAAGTGTGTGTGTGTGTTAATTGCTCAGTCATGTCCAACTCTGCGACCCCATGGACTGTAGCCTGCCAGGTTCCTCTGTCCATGGAATTCTCCAGACAGGAATATTGGAGTGGGTTGCCATTCCCTTCTCCAAGAGATGAGAAAACTGAGGCTCAAATCACAAACTGGCCAGACCTGGGCCTGAATTAGATTCAAACCCCGAGCTCCAAACAGTAATGATGGCTGGCCTTTACAACCTCAGAGTAAAAGAAGTCAGAGTGAAAAACTCCAGGGCCTAGGGAAATAGAGGGTTAATGGTCACGCGGAGCCCTTGTTTAATGTACTTAAAAAGCAGGTTCCTTCCAGAAGCCACAGGGCTGCCGGGGAGATATCCATTAGCTACTTCTTAATGACCAGAGCCAAACCCTGCCAGGGGGAGAGAGCCAAGAAATGCTTTTAATACCCTCTTCTCTGAGATGAGGGCAGTGTGGCCTCTCTCAGCCCCTAGTTCTGCACACAGAATGACGGTGCAGTCCTCCAAAAACCCACAGAGCTGACTTCAGCCCAGAGCAGACTCCCCAGAGATGCCCCCAGACCACACCCCCATCACAAACAAGGAAGCCGCCTTGCTTCTCCCCTACGCCATGATATACTTCTGCCTCCTCCTAGAAAGACAATTCTTTTGGCAGGGGCCAATGCGCCCTCCCCTCACCAGAGCCCCTAGTGATATCTGATCTCACCAGTCATCCGACGCCGCACCCCGAAACCTCAGCTCTTCTAAAGGTCATTCCCCTATTCCTGGCTTGGCCCGGAGTCTGATTGAGCTGTGCAACTGTGCCTGTCACTAGCTCTGCCTCAGGAGCCAATCTTCTGTCACCCATCCTGGGTGTGACCCACTCCAGCCACTTGGCCTGACTTCAGTCCATGCCTGGAGCAGTGGCAGATCATCTGCGTCCCACTGCAGGAGAGGAGTGCATTGGAGTGGACTGGTTCTCCCTTCCTGTCTCTAAGGACATGCTGTTCCTATTCCATGAGAGGCAGACCTTCTGCCCCGTTTCTTCTTTGCCTGAAGGGGGAAAAATAATATGCTTTGATTGATTCACTCATTCAGCGTTCATTTGTATCTCAGGCACCTGCTGAGCCTGAGTCCCCTGGTAGCTCAGTGGGGACAGGAGGTGAACTGTCCCTGCCTTAGCAGCGCTTGAAAGAAGCTGGTATTCACGGCCCTGGGAAGCAGTGGGATCAAAGGGGGATCTCAGGGCTGGAAGCAGGCAGGCCCAGCCCCATCCCTGCCCCCTTCCCTAGTTGTATTCCTTTGCATAATCACTCCCCCTCTGAACTTTCATTTCCTTTTTCATAAGGAGGCCCTCTACTCAAGGTTCTGATAGAGAAAGAAATGTGACTCTCTTTTAACAGTAAAAAAATAAATATGAAAATTACCATTTTCAAGGAAAACTAAAAAGACTTTTAAAAATCATTTATGAACACAGTCTGTGCCTGGCACAGAGTAGGTGCTCAGAAATGGAGGGTGAATGAGATCCAGCTTGGCCTCAGGCCAAGGAAGAAATCCACAAAACCAGCAGGTTGTTTTCATAATAGTGTGTGTGTGTGCTTTCTCTGTCTTAATGACTTGCAACTGTATGAGGTTGTAAGGATATAGTAGAACCATCTCTGAGCTGAACATTGGCACGTAAGTGTGGGGCCAGGGCTAACTGATCTCTGGTCCTCAGTCTCCTAAGATAGGAAGAAAGAAAGGATGTGAGTGCATGCTAAGTTGCTTTAGTCGTGTCTGACTCTTTGCTACCCCATGGACTATAGCCTGCCAAGTTCCTCTGTCCATGGGATTCTCCAGGCAAGAATACTGAAGTGGATTGCCATGCCCCCCTCCATGGGCTCTTCCCAACCCAGGGATCGAACTCAAGTTTCTGGAATCTCCTGAGTCTCCTGCACTGGCAGGCAGATTCTTTACCACTAGTGCCAACTGGGAAGCCCAGAAGAAATGACCCCCACTAAATGATTCCTTCCAGCTCCTTCCAGTTGTTAGGAACATTGCCTCCTGGCTGATTTCTCAACATCACAAGGAGGTGATTTGTTCCCATGAGTGGTGGATGGTACCCTCTGATCCACTGGGCAAGTGGGACTTTCCAGGCCTCTCTGTTCCCTTCTCCCTTGAAAAGGAAACAGCTTCAGCCTCTGGTCCCCCTTCCCTCGCTCACCTCCCTTACCCCATCCTCTTCTCCTGCAGGACTGGGCCCCTCGCTGCCCTCGCTGCTGCCCGCTCTGCGACTGTGCCTGTGCGTGCCAACTTCCTGACTGCCAGAGCCTCAACTGCCTCTGCTTTGAGATCAAGCTCCGATGACGACCCCTCAGGGTCCCTGCTCTTTGGGGAGTGGCCAGCCCCCAGGGCCCACAGGCCCTGTTCCCTGAGGGGACTCAGGACAACTTTCTCCAGGCCATTGGAACCACAAATGGCCTGCCCAGCTCACCCGCCTGGGAACCGGCAGTGGAGAGCCTGGCTCCCTGCAGAGTGGGACTCACAGAGCCCTTGGCCAGCAGGCCGGCAGCCCCTTAGCAGGGCCAGGAGAGAGGGGCTGGTGCTCCGGCAGGTCCCCCTGCCCTTGTCTTTCCCTCCCCAAGTAACTGATCATATTTGAAGGTGAGGATGGGGGACACTGCTCACCATCCAGAGCATGGGACAGACTTGAGCCTTGACTATCAGGATGTAGGGTTACCCCAGGCACACCCTGTCCATGGACTCTTGGTTATTTTGAGGTATGAGTGTAGTGCCTGCCTGTGCTCTGACTCTGAAGAATCAGGACAGCCCGTGTGAGGCCCAGAGTCAGGGGAGGGGGGATCTGAGGAGGAGGCAGGGAAGGCCAGAAGTCTGAGTCCCCTTACCCCTCCTTCCTTCCTCACAGATCGCTGTCCAGAGATTTATTTCTCTTGACAGCCCGTTGAGGGCCTCAGTCTGGATTTCCAAGGAAGAAATCTCTGAAGTACCCGGTGAGTGGGCAGGGGGCCTTCCCCCCCACCCCGAAAATAGGCAGGCCCACAAGCTTCTTCCCCATCCTTCACTTTAGGCCCCACGCTGGCGTGAATGTCAGGGGCTTCAGGTTTCCCTAAATATAGGTCCCTGCCAGGGGATCTGTGGTGAGCAAAGGGCAGGGGTCACCGGAGAAGGTCGGGAACATCGGCTGGGGGGAGGGCGGGAGCTGCCTTATAACCCAGCCCGGGCGGGGCCTGGCTCACTCGCTGCTGACCAGGCTCGCCCGCGCCTTTGGCTACCTCCTCACAGGTGGGCTCCAGTCGGACGGAGCGGGGTTGGGGTTGGGCTGAAGGCTCCGAGATTTAGGAGGGGAGACCTGGCCGGTAGGATGGGGAGGCTAGGAAAGGATCTGGGAGGCCGACAGCCGGGGGACGGATTTGATTTTGGAGAGGGAAGTCGGCGCCAGGGAGTTTTCCAAGGAATCTTGGCCACACATCCCCAGACTTGCTCGGCCCGAGCGGGTTCCCGCCTAGTCCCTCTTCCGCGGGCGGGCGGCGGGCGCGTGCGCATTCGCCGGCCACGTTGCCTCTCCGGGTCCCAGGAGCCGGACCTGCCGGGATGGAGCGCGCACGCGGCGGGGATACCCGCCGGCCGGGACACCCGGAACCGCTGCCGGCTCGCGCTCCGGGAGCCTGCCCGCGCCGCCCTCTCCTGCGCCGGGGCGGGTAGTCGCCGAGCCCCTGGATTCGGTTACAATGTGACATTCGCTGCCTCACCGCCACCGGAAGCTGGGGCCGCCCGATGGGCCTGCGGGAGGGAAGCTGAACGTCGCTGTTTTCGGGCTCTGCCACCCGCTTTTCCTCCGACCCCACCCCATTCCCATCTCCTCCGGGGCCCAAAAATCGGCTGAGTCACGGCGCCCCGAAGCACGCCAGGCCGAGGGGAGGGGGGTCGGGGGAGGAGAGGAGGGAGGGGAGGGCGCCGGCGACCCGCGGGATGTGGCCCTAGTCACGTCCGAGGGGGAACGAGGGGGAAGGACTCGGGTTCTCGCTGCACAGTCCCCGCCTATGCACCGCCTCCTGGCTTCGCCTTTCGGGGGCGGCCTTTCGCACATTTCCTCGCCTGCCATTGGAAGCCAGGGCGCCTCCGGTCTCCTGGAAAGGGAAGAACCCGGAGGGGGGCGGAGCGGTGCCTTTATAAGGCCGGGCACCACCTCCTGCCCGCCCGCCTCCGCGCCCCACCTCAGGAGTAGAATAGGCTGCGTTCCTCTTGGAACGCGCCGCGGAACCAGAGTCCTGGTGACGAGTGCCGCGTTCGCTCCCTCAGTCCACTCCGCCAGCCCTCCACCGCTGCTCCCCTCCAGCCCGCCCCTCTCCTGTGCCAGGTGAGCGCCCCCCGCCACGTGCGAAGGTCAGGGAAGGGGTCGTGGAGAAGGATCCCGGGAGCAGAGGCGGGTCGGGCGTCCGCAAGGAGCGCCCCCCAACCCAGCCCCAGCATCTTCCTCCTCCGCCACCACCCACACGTTTGCTCCCAGCCCGGACTCCCCGACTCTTCCAGCATGAGCTCCCAGGGTTTGCTGCGCAACGCAGCGACCGCTCCGCGCGCTGAGTCACACCGGGGAGGAAGGAAGCCGGGCGAGATGAAGGGCCGTTCCCCGCTCCCCTTTTCTTGTTAAGACTCCGGGTGCAAAGATGATGGCCCTTTTGCCTCTGCAGGGATCCTAGGAGTCATCGAGGGGTGGGAGCCAGCTCATTTACTGCCTCAGGGTTCCCGAAAGCGGGTGGTTGGTCCCTGTCCTGGGAGACGGGTGCCCCTGGCCAGGAGGGGAAACCCCTTGGCAGCGCATGATGCCCGGTTAACACTTTCCCTATCTTTCCTTATCGGGTGACCTTGATTCTGAGCCTGGAACAGCTGCAGCCGCGGAGCAGACAGGAGCATTTTCAGGGAAGGGGTGGGGCGCTTGCCTGTCCTCCACGTTCTCTTACCCTGTATGAGCAGTGAGGACAAACCTCACTCCTTTCCTCCACCCCGGGCTAGGCTTCCTCCCCCGCCCTTTTCTGGGCTCCTGAGGACCACCCCCTTCACCACCACCTTTTTCCTAACACCTTCCTCCTAACACCCTCCCCCCACCTTGGGGGGAGCAGCCTGACCTTGGGTGTCCTTGAGGCAATGGAGCCTGGGCCAGCCCTGGGATCTCCGGTGGATTGGAAGGAACACTCCTATCGCAGCCAGAGATCTGAGTTCTAATCTCAGATCAAGCCCTTGGGTTGCTGTGTGACTTGAAACACAGCTTTTTTCCCTTCTCTGGCTTCTTTCAGATGAGGACGTTGGGCCTTCTGCCTTCCGCACAACTTCTCATTCCAAAATACTCCGTTTGGTTTTGCTTCCAGGCAAGGTGACCCCCATGGCACAGCGCAAGCCAGAAGGGTCCGGCTTCCACATGACCTGCCTGTCCATGGCTCTGGCCTATTCCTTTAGGCCAAATGCCAATATACAGCCCCACCCTCAGCTGGGTAACATCCAGAAAGAAACAGAGTTAGGAAAGGTACAGGAGGCAGGCCTAGTACAGGGAAGCTGGGTGTAAGGGAGAGCCTGGGGCAGGAAGTGCCCCGAGACCTGCCGGGAGTGGGGCAGGGGAGGTAGGGAGCCTTTCGCCTGACCTCCAGACAAGTGGCCCTGCTGGTTGAGAGACCAGGGGAAGACTCCACTAACTAGCCCTCCCCCATGTGTCTTCTCCGCCCAGGAACTGACAGGCACCATGCCCCACCAATACCCAGCACTCACCCCGGAGCAGAAGAAGGAGCTCTGTGACATCGCTCACCGGATTGTGGCTCCGGGCAAGGGCATCCTGGCTGCAGATGAGTCCACCGGTGCGGGCAGGGCACAAGGGGAAGAGGGTCCAGGGGTGGGGTTGAGGGGCTGACTGACCCCCTTAGTCCCCATGTGATGCTTTCCTCCAGGGAGCATCGCCAAGCGACTGCAGTCCATTGGTACCGAGAACACGGAGGAGAACCGGCGCTTCTACCGCCAACTGCTGCTGACCGCCGACGACCGCGTGAATCCCTGCATCGGGGGCGTCATCCTCTTCCACGAGACGCTCTACCAGAAGGCCGATGATGGGCGTCCCTTCCCCCAAGTTATCAAAGCCAAGGGCGGCGTCGTGGGCATCAAGGTGAGGGGGTCAGGCCTTGGGGTGGGAAATGTGAGAAGGATGTGTGTGTGCTAAGTGCTTTAGTCATGTCCGACTCTTTGCAATCCTATGGACCACAGCCCACAGCCGCCTCTGTCCATGGAATTCTCCAGGCAAGAATACTGGAGTGGGTTATCATGTCCTCCTCCAGGCGATCTTTCCAACCCAGGGATCGAACCTGCTGCGCCTCTTATGTCTCCTGCATTGGCAGGCGGGTTCTTTACCACTGGCACCACCTGGGAAGCCCAGTGAGATGGATGAGGGGCAAGGAAATCCAGGATAACAGGCAGGGGTCGGGGTGGGGATGAACTGGGTAGAGAGATTTGGGTGGAGTCTGCCCCGATCACCTCCAAATTGTGTGTAAGAAGCCAGTAACTTGTGGGACTTGCTTGGCATTTTAATCCTTGTGATTTTAAAAGCCACATGTTATACCATTGAAAAACCAGAAGCTAAAGGCCATGAAGTGTTTTGCTCACACTTTGTAAATGGTAGAGTTCAAGCTGTCTGTATCTTGTCTCTTGGGACCAGATACCATGGCTAAGTGAAACACTGGCAAACCAGGAAGGATACTTGAGAGATGAAGTAAAGCTGGGACAGGGTGGGGCTACAGAGGAGAAAAAGACTCTAGAGCAAGAGTTTTTGTTGTTGTTGTTTAAATACTATTTATCTGGCTGCACTGGGTCTTAGTTGCGACACACAGAATCTTCGCTCCTCATTGCGGAACATGGGTTCTTTAGTTGCGGCAAGCAAACACTTGGTTGTGGCGTGTGAGATCTAGTTCCCTGATCAAAGATTGAGAAAAGGGCACCAGAGACTACTTCCCATCCTATCTTGTTGCTCTCCACTCCCGCAGGTAGACAAAGGTGTGGTACCCCTGGCAGGAACAAATGGCGAGACAACCACCCAAGGTGAGAACCACTTAGCTCCCGGCCCTACTGATCAGCCCACCCTGGTCAGGACCCCTCTGGGTGCCCGGGCCATGTGGGAGCCACCCACCACCTCCGCTGGTAGGCTCTGACCCCTCCATCCCCTCTTCAGGGCTGGATGGGCTGTCAGAGCGCTGTGCCCAGTATAAGAAGGACGGAGCTGACTTTGCCAAGTGGCGTTGTGTGCTGAAGATCGGGGAACACACCCCTTCTTCCCTCGCCATCATGGAAAATGCCAACGTCCTGGCCCGTTATGCCAGCATCTGCCAGCAGGTGGGCCTGTAGGTTCCCAGCAGGCCACGTCCCACCTGATTCCATTCCAGTCTGTCAGCTGGCCTGCCACCCATCTGCCAGCTTACCCCACTCCGAATCCTCACCAAGCTCCAGGCTTGGGTTCATCAAGGGCTCTGCGAGCAGAAGGGCAGAATAGGGATTATGTGGGTGGATCTGTGGAGAAGGCTAATCTCCTCCAATCTGTTTTGAATCGGGAGGGCTGTGTAGCCAGGAGTTGTGGTGATAAGATCTTGGCAAATAGCTGTGGAGGGCTGGAAGTGGGGCTCTGGGTTAGGAGGCCTCATTGCTACCCTGTCCCTCACCCCACAGAATGGCATTGTGCCCATCGTGGAGCCGGAGATCCTTCCTGATGGGGATCATGACTTGAAACGCTGTCAGTATGTAACCGAGAAGGTAGGTGGCGTGCCTGCCTGGGCAGTGAGGTGGGCTAGGGAGCTGGATTGGGGCCCCTGGGGATGACCCTCGTCCCCCCAACTCCACCTCACCCCACTTTGGTCCGCCCTGCCGTAGGTGCTGGCTGCTGTCTACAAGGCTCTGAGTGACCATCACATCTACCTGGAAGGCACCTTGCTGAAGCCCAATATGGTAACCCCAGGCCACGCCTGCACCCAGAAATACTCTCACGAGGAGATTGCCATGGCAACTGTCACGGCGCTGCGCCGCACAGTGCCCCCTGCTGTCCCTGGTGAGACCCATTCCTCATCTTGACCTCTGGGAGGTAGATGAACTTACCCGTGATCCTTGTGCCCCTGTGGTCTTGATTTCCAGGTCAGCTTCTAGGGCCTCCTTCCAATCCCCTGGGTTGCTTGACTACAACCCCTACCCCCATGTCACCCCCTCATTCTACAGGGATCACCTTCCTATCCGGAGGCCAGAGTGAGGAGGAGGCGTCCATCAACCTCAACGCCATCAACAAGTGCCCCCTGCTGAAGCCGTGGGCCCTGACCTTCTCTTATGGCCGAGCCCTGCAGGCCTCTGCCCTGAAGGCCTGGGGTGGAAAGAAGGAGAACCTGAAGGCTGCCCAGGAAGAATATGTCAAGCGAGCCCTGGTAAGGATGGGGCAGGAGGTGGGCAGGGTGCTGGGGTGCACGGGATTCTGAGAAGGGACTTTCTCACTCTGGCTTCTCTCCCCTCTTAGGCCAACAGCCTTGCCTGCCAAGGAAAGTACACCCCAAGTGGTAAGGCAGGGGCTGCAGCCAGCGAGTCCCTCTTCATCTCTAACCACGCCTACTAAGCCGATGTGTTCTAAGGCTGCCCCCTCAACACTCCAGGCCCCGTCCCCTCCCACGCTCACTCTTGAAGAGAGGGGGCTTCATCTGGGGCTCCAGGCTGCTCTTTCCCGTCACTCTTGCCTCCTTGTGACATTGGTGCCTGGTGTTGTCTCTGTACGCTAACTCCACCATTTCCAGCCTACTGCCAATAAACAGCTATTTAAGGGGGAATCTGGTGTCCATGTCTGGTCTCTAGGGCAGGGGAGGCCTGGGGGAGGTGGCAGAGCCCAGAGAAGAAAGAGCGCTTGCTTTTTGCTCTTCTTTCTGGAGCAGAAAAGTAGGTGAAGGAGATGGACTCCTTTAGTACTCTGTTTGATGCTTACTCGGGGCTTCATGAGAAAAGCTTGTGGATTTTCTTCCAACCACACAGTGTTCTGCTCCTTCCACTGGCAGCATCTGATAAGGCCTTTACAGTTAGGAAGTGTGTGTGTAACTGCCATTCTTAGGAGGTTGCAGCCTTAGCCTCAGTTTTAGGCCCAGAACTCACAGGTATAGAAGGCCCCTGTGACATACACACACAAAAAAATAGCCACTGACAAAGAGTAAGCTATAAACTGGGCAACATGATAAGTATTCTATAGCAGTAGGCTATTATTCCCAATTCGTCCTTAAGACATCTTGCTGGGAAATTTATTGATTGAAATAAGATTATGAATGCATATCCTTAATCTATACTGTTGAGCTCATCAGTCTTCCCATCTTTAAAAGGAGAAGGGATTAGGCTGACTTCTGAGCTGTGGAACCCCTTGAAGAACCTGAGATCCCAACGCCCACATCAACAACATAGACACACAAATGTGTACAAACAGAACTGTGGAGCTCAGGTTCCAGTTTAAGAACTGAACCTCTGTGGCTTCTGCATTCAGTGTAGCCAGAATGAGGGTCCTGAACTTACCCTATGTTATGCCTGGAACGCGTCCCCATTCACCCAGGCTGTGGAGTACAGTAACAACACCAGATCTTTTCAGGTATTAAAGATTCTAATCATAGCCAGGGACTGCATTAGTCCTGCCACTGCCCAAATTTCCTGATGTGAACCCTTTCCTGTCTGAGCTCCACTTTAGAGGAAGAAAAAAAATTTTCATCTTTCCAATCACTGGATCTACTGAATCCCTATAGTCATCTGCATAGAAGCCTAGCACCTCCTGGGAGTTAAGAACTTTGTCCTTTCCCTTTCTCTGAACATTTGCATCTGTTGCCTACATCCAAAACCGAACTGTATCTAGTGTTCCTTCAAATTGGCCGGCCTCACTACTGTACCTAGCCTCACTCAGCTCTCTGTGAAACAGCCTGAAGTAAAGCAAATAAAAATTGAGGGTCCATAGAAGATAGCAAAAAGGACATTCCAAAAGGCCTCTGGCACCAAGAAGTTCGTTTAAAGACCAGTCACTTCCTCTGCCTGCAGCAAGAAACTAGGGAAGCAGAGGACTTCAAATGCCAGTTTAGGGTGTTTATTTTATAAAGTTTATAACAACAATGTGAACGCCAGAAAGAATAAGTGGCAGAAGGAGAAGAAGTTAGAACTCAGGTCACAGCTTCCTGGGTTCAAATCAACTTTGATTCAAACTCAAAAGTTCTTAGCTATGCAACTGTAAACAAGTTACTTAACCTCTTTTAGCCAGTTTCCCTCTCAAAAAAACAATACAACTGCAGACAATAAGCAGCTGAGTTCAAGGGACCATTCTGGAATCGGGGAGGTCCTGCTGACTGAGGTATATGCTTGG